TGTAACGAAGCATCTTGACATCTTGATTTTTTGTTTTGTGCTGCACTGAAAAAAGATTCAAGAGTGGTTTGTTGGGGATCTTTCTGTCGCATACATGGCTTTTTGTTGCGTTGGTTGAGAGCAACAGTGGTGGCGACCTTTGGACACTCTTGAGTTTTTGCAGCCAACTTCTTGAGTGACTTACCAGTGATACCTGCAGTTCCATCCTTCTCAACCTTGGGTTGATTTCCCTCGTGCACAGGTCGGGGGTTCAGAACAGCCAAAGGCCGCAGTACCGCACCCTCACCGGCATGCTGAGAACTGCAGTTATGAAACTGTGGCAGCTCATCCTTAGTAACCAAATGGGAGGGGGTGGAGTCCATCAACGCTTGGAGAAATCTGGGTGCAACGGGCTCTGGTTGGACTGATGTCTGTTGGAGCAGGGATAAGTCATCATTTTCTGGGTCCGGATCCAGAAGAAAGTCCATGAATGTATCTTGCTCCATGTCATTTTGGATAGTTTCAGCAACGATCTGCGTGTCCATGTCAACTTCATTCTGTGGTGGGACTACAATGATGACATACGAACCATGCCTGACTGGTCGACTGCCGTGTTCATCGGAAGGCCATCCCTGTCCGTCCAGTGTCACTGTACACTCATTTGCAAGGTAATGACAATAGTGGAACACCCCAGCAACCATGAGTAGGTGCGATCGAATTACCTGATATCCAATTTTGTGCACGTTGCGCACAGTAGTGGGCTCTGGTGCACTTCCGTTTGGCGCAGGTGGAAAGATGTATCTGACATCGATCAAAATCAGTCTGTCAGTGGAGCGCGTGGGAACATCACCAGTCCTCTGTACAATGGCCGGAATCGCCATTTCCGGAAAGTCCATGAGGCGTGCTGGTATGGGATAGACCGCTTCCAGGCAATTGAGCGGCACATTGAGTGCGACTGCCATTTCATGCGACGGCTGCACAAGTTGTGCATTTACTAGCTGCATGACTACTTCATGGCCTTCAAGCTGGAACAAGTGCAAAGCAGTCATGAATCTTGTGGCAGCCTGAGATGAACTCTCTGAGGTTGGAGCACTGGGCATTATGGAACCATCTGTGTCTGCGGCTGACGAGTCACCTACTGTTCGGTTCACTGATGAGCTGCTGGCAGCTGTCGCAGAGGGAGGAACCAACTTGCCGTCTTCAATCCTAGATGCTAATTGGGATGGAGAGTTACGGATCAACACTTGAAAGCCATCGCCATGGTTGGTGTCATGATTAGGGCGCAGCGTGTTTGGGATTTCCTGCCATCCAAATGTGATTTTGCAATCATGATGACGGCAGAGGTGCGCAACATCTGCACCATTTATGACATCGAATCCACTGATGTGTTCTTCAAAAGAGCACGCCACAGAAAACAACTCAAAACTGTCTCTGTCTTCAGGGATAATCGTCACAAGGCCTGCAACCCTAGGCAAGGCAAGGGATTGGGTGATGACAAGATCAAGTACGAAATGTCTTTGTGATGCTGGCCTAGGTGGATCAGGATCTATGATGGTCAGGTCAAACCATTCGTCTGGGTCGATTTGATCTATCCACAAGGAAGAGAACTGCATTTCCCATCCTGGTGGCGGGCCAACAAGCTGAAGGACTCTTGGAGCTGTCCACCTTCTAACTGTTTGGTGATCAAGATACCAAGTTCGTACTGTGATGTCAAAGTCATTGTCCTCAGGGTCGAAACCTAACCGAGCAAGTCTATGGGCTAGGTCGTGCACGAATGCTGGCGGGACATGATGGTTATGAAGTTCCATGTCATCAGCATCATGATCTTGTTCATCATCGGGTTCCGGAGCATCAGGAACCCATGCGACCGGACTTTCAAAATCTCTTCGGACTTGGAAGATTGGGCTCAAATGCTTCTCGGGAGCATGCAGTGGTCGGACATGCAAACTACCAGTGACTTGCTGTGTGTGACCTGAACTGCAAAATTGGGCACTGCTGTCACATGATGTGGCATTCTGATCAAAAACTTTCACAACGCCTGGCAATCCTGTTCTATGACTACCGGACCGAGTGACATAAGGTACATGGGCTATCTTAGTCGCCTTCGGCCATCTGGGAGCAGTGCCTGCAAAAAAAGAGGTACCCATGCATCGTTTGGTTGGTGGATTTGGTCGAAAGTACTCCTTCCCATCTACAAAACCAGTTACAGGATCAGTTGCTTCGAACTGAGATCTGCCTGCCTTTGTGCTTGAAAAAAAAGAAACATTCGACGGTACTGGTTCAGAGTGCATCATTGCAAGAGTCCAGGGCTTCATGCCTGTGACTAATGATTCATGCGGTATCTGAATCTGATGAAAATAGATCTCGTCCTCATTTCCAATAAGGACTTCAACGTCCTCAGCAAACGAAACCTTTCTGTGCTGGAATGCGAATGCTGAAGTTCGTTCATAGGCTGGGAAATTTTGGCACTCATCGGGAACGGTCTGGGTGCAAAATTCAAATGAAACCTCAGCTGCCAGGTGGAATGCGGTGTCCTGTGCAGTCCAACTATCTACAAAATCGAGCTCATGCACAACCGAATGAATCCAGGAAAGAGATGGGCATACATTCCCAAACTTGGCAAAACTGTCCTGGACTTTCTGTGCGGCCCAGACTTGGCTTGAAGTCGGGCTTTGGATTTCATATTGTGCTGAGCTTTCGGGATTGGAAAGCTTTGAGGGTTTCATGTGAAAGGACTCATTTATCCCCTTGCCATCATGGGGCCATGGAGCAATATCATGTATGGCAATATTCACTCGGCCGGGACCAAAGGGGTTTCTTCGGTCTTTTTGTCTGCATGGAGATGGTCTGGTGGAGTCATCCTGGGTCGCTTGTTGCTCTTGTCCTGCTGTTCCGCTTCCTGCTGCACCGCCTGTTCTGCTTGGGAGTGCAACTCCTTCAGATTTGTGCTGAGGTCCTGGAAGCTTTCTGCAATGCGTTTTCCTGCCGATGCTTCGAATGCTTTTGGTTCCACATCCTCTGCATCGCTGGTCATGGCAGAGTCTTCCTTCGTGTCCAAACCCACGGTGGTTTGACATGCGGAAAGGTTGGACTTGGCAGTCGCCAAGTTTTCCATAGCAGTTTGCAAGCGATCTGTCAGGGTTTTCTCCTGCTCCATGAATTGAGAGGAGTATTTCTGCCACTGCTGCACCGAGGCAGCCAGGAAGTTGCGCCATGCCATATGCATGTTGAAGCGAGCCTGTTGTGCTTCTTCCACTTCCTTTTTTGCTCGGCCGTGTTGGGTGACTGCTGTGTGAAGCAATCTGGTCTCTTCCTGGCCGGTTCGGACAGATACCTCTTTCATGAGGAGCTGGACATCGTCTGGTAGATCTTCTTTGTGCCTGCGTAGTGCTGCCAAGAGGGATCTGTATTGCTTGTCCTTGTCCTTGTCGTCCTTGGGGTCTGCTGTACCCATATTGGCTGATGTAGCCGAGGTCGGACCAGGATTGGGAACTGAATTCAACCAAGGTGGATCCAAAGCAGCAAGCGATTGCGCTGAAGGCGGCCCAAACTGAGGAAGCTCTTCGGCTGGTCCTTTGGACTTGCCTTTGCCTTTGCCCTTTGCAGGTGTAGGGTTTCGCTTCTTGGATCTCGGTCTTGGTGATTGTCGACGTCGTGGGGAGGCATACTGTTTGGTTTCCTCCCATTGTTGATCCTCTGTCCAGGGATGGGAGTACGTCCATTGCACCTGACGAGGATTTTGCTGTCTTTTTGGTTGCACAAAATTGGGATCGGCGCAAATCTGCCATCCCTGTCCACATTGGCCACAGTACTCGTGTCGGCCACTGCATATTCTTTTGCACGTAGTGCATTTCCATGGTTCCGGCGTCAGAGAATCCATGTCTGCTTTGATCCTTTTCAAAAAGGCAGTATCCTTCGAATGATGCCTCTGCAGAATTTGCTGGATTCTGTTCAATCTCCAGCGGGGCAAAGGATGGATCTGTCTTCGATGCAGGTACCAGGCTAATCGGGCCTGGGATCGCTGCCTTCGTGCAGCTCGTCTCTGAGTGGGTGTAGCCGTTGCTATCCAAGCAATTATAAACTGCCACTGGGCGAGTTGCCACGAAGTCAAATGCCAGAGTGATGGAAATGTAAAATACTGCAATCACTGCCAGAATTGAGCACATTCACGTATGAGCCAGTGAAAGAAAAATAGGTCCGGGGAGCTCACCCCAAATTGATGAGCAGTCGATGGGAAGAGTGAAAAAGGTAGACAATGTCAAATACCAGAAACACAGGTTGCACCAGCGACAAACGCAAAAATTTGGAATCCACCCCAGAAAAACCAATGCGAATGCAAACCACTGTAGCCCACTGTAAGGTCAGTGCAGAACCAGTTGAATGATACCCGCTGTATTGCCAGTGCGGGATCAAGGGTTGCAAAACAAAATCGCTTACACCAAGTCAGTCGATTTAACGGCAGTGAGTTGGGCAGCTGATGTAAGGTCCAGGCCACGTAGAACAAAATGTAGCAGCCACGTAGACCCGTGGAACAAACTTCGTTGCTCCACTTAGGCTATGGCAATCAGTAACAGCTCGACAAAACCTAACACAGTCGGGGGGCTGTACTGAGCCAAGACCTTGGAGGGATGACATCCCATATATGTAATGGAAAATAAAACATGTTTGAAACTACCATACCAACCAGGTAAACAATCATTAATATTCCCATCATATTCCAATTATATTCCCATACCATGATTAATCATTTATAACCACTATTCACCATAGATTATCCACTATTAACCCTTCATAAACCATTATTAACCATGCTTAACAATTATTTACCATTAATAACCAAAAAATAACAGATATTTCGGGCCATAACAAGTAATTAACCTTTATTAACCATGATTAACCATTATTTACCATTAATAACCATAAATAACAAGTAAACAATGAGATTGTCCGAAACATGGAGCCAGTAGAAACGTGTTTTTTTTTCCGGTTTGACTGCGATCTCCCTTATACAATCGAGGCACTGCCCGACGTCGTAAATCTTCACCACCTTCTCCTGGAGGATAACCGAGGCGTTCCGAGCGAAATCAAATTTTAGGTGGTTCCCTGGAGCTATGGCCATGGCTATTAGTTATAACTGGTGATTTTTATGGGATAACAAACAATCTATAAATTTGATGACTTAAGTACTTATAACTTCTATTTCGGACCATAACTGTGGAACTATACAGTTTTGGCCCGAAATACCTGTTATAAGTACCAACAAAACCCCATTTATAGAATGTATAATCGCAGATAGAACCAGTTATAACGAATAGATGACCATAACTGTATGTTGGGGAATTTAGATGAATTTAGTATATTCACGAATGAAAGTAAAACTGTACTGTAGTTAATCATCATAGTTCATAATTCCTATAGTGAACCTACATAGAATCACAACAAACCATACTGAAACTAGTGAATTTGACAAACTTCGCTAACTATGGGGCAGTACCTCGTAGGTTTGTCCGAAAATGAGGGACACATGTTTTTTTGTTTGTTGTTGTTGTTGTTGTTGTGGTGTGTGTGTGTTGACAATAAGGTTTACCCAACATATTCAAAACAGGCCGTCTACTGTAGCATAATCACAATATGTTTGCCGCAGAGTAATTACACATATGGCCATTTGGGGATGATTCCCCTATACATTCACCACGATTCCAGGCTTCGCTCACGACGTGAGGTCACGTCATTTGCTTTGTCCAGATCGGTCCTATCTTCCATTGGAACGTCCAAATGGGTACGCGTCAAAATTGGGTACCCCAATAATAGTTGGATATCGTTAGTACTAAAACTAGACTAAAATCTGTGGTCCCCTAGGTCTTTAATTTTGACCTCCCATCTCATTATACTGGTTGGCCAATAAGTTTCCCTACTATGGGTTCTCATAATCCCGATTCAACCAGGTAGTATAATCCCCTACAATCATCAACCAACCAGAGTTTGAACACTAATAACCATTAATGAAATATTAATGACCTATATAAACCAGCATGAACCGTTAAGAACAATTCATAACCATCATACAGTGGATGGAAAAAATGGTGCACCAGTTGGTAACTATTAGGCAACTGCAAAACATTGCAAATATTGGAACTATAATGGGATAGAGAGATCTACCAACCAGTGCAGGATTATTTTTCCATCCGCACTATGAAATGGGTTTAGAACCAGAAAAGAATGATGAATTTGATCCACATATGGCCACAAACCTGCAGCTGGTTAAGACACCGAATATGTGGTAAAACCCGTGTCTATCATCCCTTTTTCATGGTCAATCTGTGGCAGACCACTCATCCTCCTCATCATCAACATGAAATTACATGATCCTCCCAGTCCCCCCACACTGTCTGGAGTCTCTTGCCGCTCAGATGGTGCCCCCTGCGACCCGCCCCGCGGCACCGGCACCCTTGGCACCTGCCCCCCTAGCGCCAACTTGTCGCCCCCTTCGCTGAAGGTCAAGGCGTCCACCTCGGAGTCGCCAGGCCTTGGAGCGGGCCCGGCCAGTTATGGCCAGTTATGGCCCGAGTTATACCAACATACAGTTATGGTCATTTATTCGTTATAACTGGTTCTATCTGGGATTATACATTCTATAAATGGTGTTTGTTGGTACTTATAACAGGATGCTACCGTGCAGATAGGGTAGGTGGGGCGAGGTGGGATAGTGACGTTCATATGCACTTTCATGCGGTGATGATGGCACGTTGATGATGGCACGTTGATGTTGCCATGTTGATGATGTCATGGTGGTGGTGCTTGGTTGAATGAAGATGCTACGCTTCAGGTGGGGTGTTGGGGTGGGGTGGGGCGGGAGATTAACTTTCGTCACGGTGATACGGCGTTGGTGACGTTACGTTGATGATGTTACAATGCAGATGGGGTGGGGTGGGTTGGGGTCGGTTGGCGTGGATTCGGGTGGTGGGTAATGAACGTCCCTTGGCACATGCACGCCAGTCATGATACTACATTGATGCTGTTACGTTGATGATGATGTTGTTGATGATGCTACGCTGATGATGTTGCATTGATGAAACTTCGTGGTCGAAGAGGTGCGGTCTGGACACGTTCAAATACACACACACATAGATATAGATAGATAGATAGATAGATAGATAGGTAGATAGATAGATAGATAGATAGATTAGTTCCACAGTTATGGCCCGAGTTATGCCAGTAATAAGTACTAAGTCACCCCATTTATAGAGTGTTTGTTATCCCATAAAAATAACCAGTTATAATAGAAATCATACTAATTATGTTTGTACTGAAATAACACCATTCATAAAATATGTTTTTAACGCAGTTATAATCAGTTGTAACAATGGTGATTTTCCATAGTTATGTAAACGTTTACCAGAGGGTATGGCCCGAAATACCAGTTACCCTCTGGTAAATTAACAGTTGGACCCTGAAAATCACCAATTCTTAGTGGAAACTAATCTTCCAACCCCGATGAATGGCAGGGTCTATCTTAATTTACCACAGGGTATAAGTACTAAGTCACCTCATTTATAGATTGTTTGTTATCCCAAAAATACCAGTTAAAATGGGAATGATACCTGCTCTAACTAATTGCAATGGCCATAACTGTACAATGCGGGGCCATCAAACAATAGCTAAGTGGCTGAATTCTATGGTTTATGGTAGATATAACGAACTAGTTTTCATGGGTTTATAAACCAACTCTGGTTGGTGGTGACTTACCCATCTTGAAAATATGAGTTCGTCAATGGGAAGGATGGCATCCCATATATGAAATGGAACATAAAAAATGATTGAAACCACCAACCAGATAGCAAAAGTTGGTGAAATATACTGTCTAAGTATTAAATAAACAAGTTGGAAATTTAGCTATTTTAAGTTGGCTTATTATTAAATTATGGTCTGTCTGAAAATACGGTATACCCTCATAGAGCAAATTCAATACGGAACATGAGTGGAACATGATTCATGATAGTCAACCATCAAATTTGTGGTTCCCCTATTTTCAGACAAACCCACATATAACATACAATGTGAGGCCCCCGAAGGATAGCTAAGTTAGTGAACATAACGTCAATAACTATGGTTTGTCACATCTATAACTGTAGTATGCATGGGTTTATAAACCAACTTAGCAATCTAGGGGGGCCCACATTGTAAGTATTTTGAAAAATGGGGATTTAATCTGGGAATACGCACAAAAATTGTGTTTTTAATGGTGACTTAACAAAGAACAATGCTGATTGAATATGATTCTTCATGATATTGTCATAAACAATGGTGATTTAATGGCTAAAAAATCAAAAAGATTCAATGTGGATTTGACTGGTTCTATGGAATATGTTCATGGGATTTTAACTTGGAACATAACATCCCCATAAATTCAAACATGGTAAATGGTAATGTAAGGAACAGCAAAAGATGGCATTATCGGAAACGTAATTGGGATATTGTCGGATTATCCTTTTTGTCGCCAAAAACTTTATGATCCTCAATATTGCAATGATTATGTCACGTTGTACGTAACATGCCAATAGGTTGATGCTCAAAGTCCAGTTTGAAGCCATGAACCACTTGCCTGCACCCACAGAGAATTCTCCCAGAAGGCCATTATCCCAATTCTTTTTCTCGTAGAAGTTAGGATTGGGTGCTGCCATATCGACAGATATGCTTTTTTGTAGAAGTCTGGATACGCCTGCTCATCAATAGCCAATGCGTCTCTGCGAATAGTCCTTGCTCGATTCTGGGATCTGAAAAATGTCGAGTTCGCGTTGCGAGTTCGCGTTGTCCTTCTGACCACGCGGCACAGTCCTGAAACATAATCAGCCACTGGAATCCAGATCGAATCTCAGTCCCAAGTGTCTCCCAGAATGAAGAAACCGTGTACACTGTACCTGTCGTAAATATCTCGTCGACGTAAAAACATGAAAACATGGAATTGAGATGATTTTGTTTGGGTCAAGCACGGATAGCGCCACGACTCAGCTCGAACTTCACTTTCCAATCCGAGATAATCCACTTTGGAACTCGCTGCGGGTTGGCAGTAACCCTGGTCGTGGAAGACTTTTTTGAGTTCTCCATCTTCACTGCGGTATACAGTTGGAATCCGATGCCGTACTGTGCTGTATACTTGAACTCTTCCTCATAGTTCATGTCCAGATAAATGAACTTGCCATGCCTGATGCCTGCTAACATCTCCGATGAAAACCCTTCCCCCTCCTCAGAAGGAAAGTCGCTCACAGGCTTAGATAAGAGATGCCAGAAACGTCCACATAAAGTCCACATCATCATTCCAATGACAGTTGTATAGTTGTAAAGATGCAAAGGTAGATAGATAGATAGATAGATAGATCGACCGATCAGATAGATAGATAGATAGATAGATAGATAGGTAGATAGATAGATAGATAGAGAGAGATCGATAGATAGATAGATAGATAGATTGGTAGAGAGATAGGTAGATAGATAGATAGATAGATAGATCGACCGATCAGATAGATAGATAGATAGATAGGTAGATAGATAGATAGGTAGATAGATAGATAGATCAATAGATAGACAAATAGATAGACATATAGATAGACAGATAGATAGATAGATTAGATTAGATTAGATAAAATAAGGTAAGATAGATAGATAGATAGATAGAGAGAGATCGATAGATAGATAGATAGATAGATAGATTGGTAGAGAGATAGGTAGATAGATAGATAGATAGATAGATCAATAGATAGACAGATAGATAGACAAATAGATAGATTAGCTTAGCTTAGATTAGATTAGATAAGAAAAAAGAAAAGAAAAGATAAGATAAATAGATAGATAGATAGATCGATAGATAGATAGATCGATCGATAGATAGATAGATCGATAGATAGATAGATAGATCGATCGATAGATAGATAGATAGATCGATCGATAGATAGATCGATCGATAGATAGATAGATCGATCGATAGATAGATAGATAGATCGATAGATAGATAGATAGATAGATAGACAGACAGATAGATAGCTAGGTAGGTAGGTAGGTAGGTAGAAAGACAGACAGACAGACAGACAGATAGATAGATAGATAGGTAGGTAGGTAGACAGACAGACAGACAGATAGGTAGGTAGGCAGGTAGACAGATATCACAACGATGGGATAGCATCATGCATATCTATACTTCGGGATCAGAGGATATGTAAGGATGATATGGCCGGATACACTGCCATCACGCTGAAAAACATATCCAAAGCGACTCGAGTAAGGAGTTTTACCACCAGGTTCGGGATTATGAACTAACCTACATTCGGGAAACCTACAGTATCAACCAACTGTTGCATAGTATATATATATATATAATAATTATATATATAATCTGGTTGCTGGTTTCAAACCAACCCCTCTGAAAAATATGGGTTCGTCAGTTGGGATTATGACATTCCCAATAGATGGAAAACTAAAATTCATGTTCCAAACCACCAACCAGTAATGATATGGGAAAACAGTGTATCTTTCATTGCTCACTTTCAAATATGAGGTTCCAGAGAGTTCTTATGTCTGGTATCAGCAGGTGCAAATCATCGTGCAGAACGTTGCAATACGCACAAAGCACGTTTCAAATTGGGAACATCAGCGGGTATATATGTTGCGATAGTTGGCCAGGACCCAATAGATTCTTACCAAAGCATACCATGGCGCAACCCACAAACAAATCAAATGGACCATGTTTTTGCAAGGTATGATTTGGAAGACCATGCCACATGAATCACTCAAGGGTTGACAAACACAGAACCAACACGCATTGCTTGGGCAACAACAAGTTGAATGCGGCAAGTGGACGCAAGTGGAGTATCCAACAAAGCAAGCAGAAGTCTCAACAACAGTAGTATAATGTGTATACATATCATGTATATATATATAAATAAAGGATGGGACACATCTATTCAATCTAAATTAACGCCATTTGGGGATACTTTGCCCTAACTAACCATCTTTCCAGTGAGAACAGTGAGGTCGTTATATCCAACTTTACTGGCGAAATCCCCCACTCGTAGGTTGAATCCCAATTATCCAATAGTACTATCGCATGAAACACCTATACTCCCACATTGTCCGCTTCCTCCCATCGTACTGTGCCATTCTTCAGTATTATTGATCCCATGGTATCCCCTATAGCCATGAAACAACATCTATATTATGGTATTGTAATAATATTCTATATATAGTCTGTATATTATCAACATACATATTTATATATACATATATATATGTATGAAAATACATATATATATGAAATAAATATATATATATATATATATATAAATGAGTATATATATACATGTATATATATATATAAATATATATGTATATATGTATATATATATATATGAATCCTGTTTAAAGCCTGTTTAAGATTATTATAGTATTCTCCCAAACAAAATCCAGAGAATCCCCACTGCGACCCTGCGCGGATCCAAGCGTCATCTCTGCCAAGATCTTCACGCTGCCACCGCGCGACACTTCCCAGAAGCCCACGGTGCCTGGGGCGGAAAAAACGGCGCTGATGTCAGGGGCATGGCACTTGGGACCCTCAACAAATGAGAGTTTTTGGCCATGAAAAAAGGCTGGTTGGTGGTTTCAACCAACCCCTAAGTGGCTGAATTCTATGGTTTATGGTAGATATAACATGATATAACTATAGTTTTCATGGGCTTATTAAACAATAGCTGGTTGGTGGTTTCAACCAACCCCATTTTTTTTTTCCATTTGTCAGTTGGGATGATTAAATATTCCCAATATATGGAAAAATGTTCCACACCACCAACCAGAAGGATGAGTTCTGCAATATAACCCTCCTGTGTCCTGCAACATAGCTGTAAAATCTCCATAAATGGAAGTTGTGATGGAAAATCATAGAAGTGAATGGGTGATTTTCCATAGCAATATTTGCTTACCTGAAGGTAATCAAGTAAAGTGGAGATTGAAGGTGAATCGCACCATGCCCATGCTTGACGGCATGCCTAGCAAGTCAGATTAAACATGCCTTGCCTGGCAATGGCAAAATTGGGCAATGTGTTCAGCAGAGAAATGGTGAATTGACATATTAACAGTAACAGCGTGTCCTGACGGTTGAAATTCTTCAAGCAATGAAAAGTAAAGCCAGTAGAGAAGCATAGAGAAGCACAATGACAAACCATGAAGCACATGATAATCACATGGCCGCTTGCTTCTTGAACAATCTATCGCTACTTACAGTAGAACTGGATAGTAAAGCCGTTATACATACATGGGATAACCCCAGCAGACTGACTTCTCAATTATTAACCACATACGTACCCTCTGGTAAACTAACATAGCTATTGAAAATGGCCATTTATAGTGAGTTTTCCCATTAAGAATGGTGATTTTCCATAGCTATGTTAGTTTACCAGAGGGTATGTGATTGGGAACGAAAAGCGCCTCACCACGTCAAGCATATGTGCAAATGTGTACCTTTTTGCAATTGGAAACAAGCAATATGTTGCCAGATGAATATAGTAATAATTTTGGAGATAATATCCATGTTTGTTGCCATGTGATGGTAATTGCTATATTTCTGATGGTTGTTGGGGATGATTCCCTTTACATAAATTACCAGCCATCATCTGTCCAGGGAATATTTTGGGTACCTGAATTGGAGTACCAGTCTACATAAAGTCTATCTGAAGCCGATGGGAATATCCCTGCAAAACACGAGTCACGGCCTCCAAAATGGTAAAGTACATCAGTGTGGGAGTGACCACCAGTAAAAATTGATGGTTACAGAAATAAAGCCTTGTTAGTCTGGGCAAATTATAATTCACTAACCTGAAATGTTGGGCCATTTTGGGATGATTCCTCTTGCTGACCATGATTCCAGGGTTCGGGAGAACGGTGAGGTCGTTATAATTTGCCCAGATTAGTGGCTTCGAGCGTATTGTCCCCAGAAAAATCATCACCATTGTTGATTTTATACCCCGATGTTTGTTGGTTAAATCACCATTTAAAACCGTTTAGAAGGTTGGTGGAATCCAAATTTTCGAATAATTATCCAATGATATCCCATGTCTTTGCTGGTTTAATTGTCCATTTCAAAGCATTATTGGTTGAACCCCCGCCACTTTACGCACGCTCGTGTCCAGGCCTGCGGTGTCTACAGTGGTGATGATATTGGTTTGCCGTCCTGGGACAGTTTAAGCCACTTATAACTAAGGGTACTTTTTTTTACTAACTCACTTAGTTAGTGCGATAAACCACTAAGTGTTGTTACACCACAATTTCTATTGGTTTCTAAAACCAATGAATACTATAGTTGAATAGGTATCAAAAACCATAGTTATTGAAGTTATTTGCACCAACTTAGCTATCGTTTGAGGGCACCACATTGTAGGATTGCAACGCCTCGATATATATGGGTGTGACTGAAAATCGGGGCTGAGGCCATAGGTAAAGGAAAACTTTAAAACATGATCAACCCTGGGATTTGGGGATATCCAGCTTTCAGATAAAACCATGTTAAAAATACCTGGTTGGTGGTTTCAACCCTTCTGAAAAATATGAAAGTCAGTTGGGATATTATTCCCAACTGAATGGGAAAAAAAGTTCCAAACCACCAATAAGTCGTAATAATACCATCACTAGTTTTATTACACACCCCATCTTTTTTTCAACTGATACGTGCAGCGGAAGTGGAGTCCTTTGAAGTAACTGTACCTAATTTTAACATATTACATATAATATATATATATATATATATGCAACTACATATTTCCATGTATATATATATATATATGTGCATACACATATTTTGAATATAAATGGGTTTGTCTGAAAATAGAGTACCCCAATGTTTGCATTGTTTGTAGTTGGGCTCACAGCATGGCCAGTCTTAGTTCCCCTGTTTTCCTGTTGCACCAATTAGCAGTCAGGTCAATATGTCCCAAACAAAATGGCCAAAAAATCCACTGAACCAAAGTACCCATCCAGGGTTTACCCAAACACCAATCATATGTTCCAATCATGTTAAATTCAAGTCGTTCATGGTATGATTGGCCACATGTTCCCATTAAATCCCAACAATATGCTATGGAGGTTTCCTAAGACCATCTCAGTAGAGAAGTAACGGGTAATAATTTTTATTATTCCGACTAGGTGAGATACGTGACAAAACAATCTAATCAATTAATATTAACCAAGGTGCTGCGACCTCTTTCACTCCCTCGCCAACAAAATCCAAGCGCGGAATAAAGAGCTGGGGCTCGATATTCTCCAGCATGGCTGTCACTGACTCAAATTTCCGGACTTCTGCCACGGTTGCTGAAACCCTTTCTGCCGTGTACCAGTGAAGGAGACTCGGTCGCCTGCTTTCAGATGAAAGAGCTTGCCCTTCCCAGTGAGATGCCGTGCCTCCCAAGACTTCTCACCTGTGGCAATGCGAATTTCACTCACGGGACCCCAAATCATCCAAGTCATTAGACCAAATCAGACCAAATTAGACAATGACTTAGTATTGAAACCCACGGTGACTTGGGGGATCACCAATCTTGAGAAACCCCCATTTCCTTCTATGTAAATCTTGGAGGCCCCAATGCACAACTAGGTCCATGGTGTTTGTTTACCCAGGGATTATCTTAACACGTGTGAGGTTTCAGATGTTGACTGATGTTCAAAACACGATCTCCACAAAGATTTTTACCGGCATTTACGCATCGAATCTGTTGTCTTCGCAACCCCTTTTGTTTTTCAAAGCACCTCCATGACTTTTGGATGAACAAACTTAGACCATGATGGTAAATACACCAATCGTCAAATCGTTGATAGGAGGAGTTACAAGTGCCACTACAGTTATGGCCATTTATTAGTTATAACTGGTTATAAATGGGATTTTACAATCTACAAATGGGGTTATAAGTACTTATAACTGGCAAAGGGCCATAACTGTACGGACCCACCCCATGTAAACCAACCAGCTGTCTGGTTACTTCAGCGGCCACCGTTCAGCCAGTGATTTTTTTGATTGGGAACTCGCCAGAAAACCAACGACCATAATAATACTAGTCCAATCTCTCATATGTTTCATGTATGGCTGGTTGTGTTTCATCTGGGACATGTTTGGCGTGCAAGTTTGGACATATGTTACGCTAGGAGAATTAACAGTGTAAAAAAACACTATACATGAATTCATGTATATGTATACCCATTGATAATCGATATATATATATATATATAAAATTATATACATTGATCTACATTGACATATGTATATGTTTGTATATGTTTGCTTATTTAATTCGTAAAATAGAAAACAATGCATGCACATACCATATACGTATTTAAGTATAAATAGTTGTGTGCGTGTAAGTATATATATATATTCAATGGCCATTCCAGGAACCGATTGATTGGAGGTACCTACCATATATAAGGCCTATATAAGGCCTATGTAAGGGAATATCCCCCCAAAATATGGCCAAACATATGGTACGTTTACGTACCTCCATCTGTTGGATCCTTTTTTATTCCCATTGATAATACATGATATATGATTTGTGTTTATATCTGGGTAAATCATCGTAATTCACTAGCCTGAATTAAGGTCAGGCCATGTGGGGATGATTTCCATTGATCATCCAAGCAGTAACGGCTCCTGCAGGCAACCAACGAAGATTCAGCATGGCTGTGCCTGGCACCGCTAGGACCGCTAGGATCAAGCGCTAGGAGTGGTAACAAAAGAACATTCCACTTGGCAAGTGTTTGAAAACAATGTTATCAAGTCAGGAATAAGCTATCATGATTAATCATGTTTTATCATATGAGAAAATATATATATGTTTTCTTTATGACTAGCATAAACTATCATATGACATCATATGTCTGTTTCTTATTCCAGGAATGATATGGAAGATAGATCTATCATGATTTTTCATCTGTTTGGCGAGTCCACCTACCAATTGCAATGCACCTAGCAGGATTCATGGTTAGTAACTGGGTGATAACAATATAACACACATGTTACCCTGCGGATTTTCAGACACACCCACTTCAGCAAATTCATGGTCCATGGTCAATACAATATGCCAAGGTTGTTGGAAAGTGGTTTATAGCCTTTTCCTGGAAAAAAAACCAGTCACTGCGGCTTTGGACCACTCAAAAAAGCCGCAACCAACAAAGTGTGTCACTTGACAGTCTTTCTATTGACATTTCTCTCCCTTGACATCTCTCTTGAATCCCCTTTTTTTTTTGACGTTTCTTTCCTCATTTCCCGTTTTTCTTATCCCCATTTTCAGGGCAGCCATTTCTTCTGATCTCGCTCTTTCCTTCTGCATTTTTGTTTGACACCCTTTTCTGTTGACATGTCTCTCTCGAAGTTGCTTCGTCTTGACACTCATCTCTTTCAACTGACATCTTTTCCTCCCTAGTCTACTTTTTGATCACAAGTCCTGTCTCCAAGTGTGTGTGTGTCTCTTCACCTCTCCATCTCTTGACACTATTTGGAGCTTTTCTAAGTCATGGGACCCCAAATCATCCAAGTCATTAGACCAAATCAGACCAAATTAGACAATGACTTAGTATTGAAACCCACGGTGACTTGGGGGATCACCAATCTTGAGAAACCCCCATTTCCTTCTATGTAAATCTTGGAGGCCCCAATGCACAACTAGGTCCATGGTGTTTGTTTACCCAGGGATTATCTTAACACGTGTGAGGTTTCAGATGTTGACTGTTGTTCAAAACACGATCTCCACAAAGATTTTTACCGCCATTTACGCATCAAATCTTTTGTCTTCGCAACCCCTTTTGTTTTTCAAAGCTGGTTAGTCAATGTAAATCCTGATGCACAGCAAAAGTACTAGACTATCAGATACTATCATACTATCCATCCAAGATCTTTCCCTCTTTCACCATCACTTTGTTTTATCATTTCTGGTGAAAGAGCTGCCTCCGATAACATGATCCCCGGGTGTGTCACGTCTCACCCTCGGTACAGCTGGGATTCACTGGAAACGGTTACCATCTGGATCCAAGGTACGTGGACATCATCCAGTGTTGGGATGGGTACCATCTGGTTATGACTATCAGTTCGCCATGGAAAGCTCCACCCATTTTTAAGTTTGGTAAACCATCTATTTCGATTAGGACCATCTATACCATGGCGAACTGTTAGTCAACACCAGAGGGTAAGAATCCTACAAGTTGGGATATACACTTGGGATGTTGCTGTGATTCTTTTGGGGATAGTGATTGGGATATGTAGGGGATGAACGAATGCACTATTAATGATGTATTCATGGAATCATGTAATACTAAGATATGATGGAATGGTTACGGAATTACGGAATAATGGAAAATACCATATATATATATAATTGGATTATCGATGGTTACAAACAGAAAAACATTGGGAACATTTTGGATGGATAGTCGGATAGTCCAGCAATAATCTGATCTTTGAATCATTTTGGATTGTCGACCGCATGTTTTTGGATAATGATTGGAACGATCGGATTCTGCAGGCAATTCTCCAGACAAGTCTCCACTGTCGAATCCACTGCAAAATTCCGACAATCTAGGTCAACGCGTCATCTGCGCACATTGAAAGCGAGTCATCTGCGCACATTGCAAACGAGCCATCTGCGCACAGAGAAACCGCGTCATCCGCGCACAAAGAGCGGTCATCCGCGCACATTGAGGCTGGGAACCAGCCATTTCGGGTTTGGTTGCGGGGGGTGGGGTGGGGTGGGGTGGGGTGGGATGATAACGTTCATGTTCCTATGCACACACAGGCACAGCAACCTCATCATCTTTCTTGCTGTTGGGAAGAGACAGGCACAGCTCTTTTATGATCAGTTACCGGTGGGGTGGGGTGAGTTAATAAGGTTCATGTTCCTATGCCTGCACACGCACAGCAACCTCATCATCTTTCTTGCTGTAGAGCATTTCCTCGCACTGCTCTTTCATAATCAGTTGCCCGTGGGGTGGGGGGTGGCTGTGTAAGATGAGTTGTTGAGAGATGACTTGTGTGAGATGAGTTGTGTGACTTGTGAGATGAGACGAGTTGTGTGAGTTGTGAGATGAGTGGAGTGGTGTGAGACGAGTTCTGTGAGTTGTGAGATGAGTGGAGTTGTGTGAGATGAGTTGTGTGAGTTGTGAGATGAGTTGTGTGAAAGAACTTGGGTGAACTTCAGTGAGAGAACACGAAAGCAGCTCCACCAAATGGCACACGAAAGCAGCTCTTGAGTGAGTTAAGTTGTGTAAGATGAGTTGTGAGAGATGAGTTGTGTGAGATGAGTTGTGTGACTTGTGAGATAAGAGGAGTTGTGTGAGTTGTAAGATGAGCGGAGTGGTGTGAGATGAGTTCTGTGAGTTGTGAGATGAGTGGAGTTGTGTGAGATGAGTTGTGTGAGTTGTGAGATGAGTTGTGTGAAAGAACTTGGGTGAACTTCAGTGAGAGAACACGAAAGCAGCTCCACCAAATGGCACACGAAAGCAGCTCTTGAGATGTTTAAAAAAAAGCTAGAAGAAGAATCATGTTACAGAGATACAATGACAAAAACACACAACAAAAACGTGCACAGACGACCAACCGTCTGACGTGCACAAACGACCCACTTTTGACGTGCACAGACGAACCCTGAACCATCAAAAATCCATCACAGACAAACCCGATTACCCTCTGGTAATTTAACATAGCTATGGACAATCACCATGTTTTTAAATGGGAAAATCCACTATTTGTATGGCCATTTTCAATAGCTATGTTAGATTACCAGAGGGTATATAATATCTCATGAAAACTATCAATAAGATCAATCAACATACCCTCTGGTAATTTAACGTAGCTATTGAAAATGACCATTAATAGTGGATTTTCCCATTAAAAATGGTGATTTTCCATAGCTACGTTAAATTACCAGAGGGTAAATTCCATGACATATCTCCATTAACAGTCCATAGTATCTCCAGGGGAATCCCGGAAGAAAAAGTGATGAATATATCCATGTCCACAACATCCATTAATAGAAAAATATCCATTAATATGTCCATTACATCCGTTATTGAATATTCCACGCAAAATATTGATATCCATTGAATCCCATAAATATTTCCATTAAACAGTATTATCATTGCGGGATATGGATACCATTAAACTGGATTCACCATATAAAATAACATATACCATGGTTAATCCCATATATATTACCATATTGATCTGAACTATTCACCATTATATGTTATTTAATATACCATGGTGATATTTAATACCATTCATACATATTCCATGTTTACCCATATTAATGGTTAATCCCATGAATATTCCTATACATATTCCCAATAATATCTCCCATTATTGATTCATAGTCAGTCCTATGTATTTTGCCATTTATTCATAATTGTATATTGTATATATATATATATATATCCATCAAAAGTGATATCCATTCCAAGTATCCATTCCCATGCCATTCATATTCATTATATGGGGGTTGTTTAAAGTTATGGTACCCCAAAACTGCCCTTACGCCGCACTTTCGCGAACATTTCGCACCCCAGCAGAATCGGGACAGGGAATTATGATCATGTTTTCGTGCGTACAGTGCAGGACGAGCACTTAGTGTTTTATTCGCGACTTCCATATTTTAACCTTACTTCACCATATATTCTTACATATGTAGTCAAAATGTTTAAATTCACACATAAGAATATAAACAAAAATGATGTTACTGGTGAATCCTAAAAGTCTCCCATATTATAATTAGTTGTTTTACCTATCAAAAACTGGCATTTTCCATAGCAAACTGTTCCCCAAGGCTAACCCAACACATCCTCCGGCCGCCGCTTTCGCCGCGCCCTTCGCCGCACCTCGTTTGGTCAGGCGTTTGCCACGTTCCATGGCGGCCTTTTCAGCGGCGGCCTCCATGTCCTCATCGTCCCTGGAGGTGAAACCATCTCGCTATGGTTTTTAATGGATAATAGAAACATTAATCTGGGTAAATTACAATATTTCACTAACCTGAATTAAAGCCATTTGGGGATGATTTCCCTAAAATAAACCATGATTCCAGGGAGGGAGAACAGTGAGGTCGTTATAATTTACCCAGATTAATATATTGATTGTATATTAATCTGGTTGGTGGTTTTAACATGTTTTAACCATCTTGAAAAATATGAAAGTCAATGGGGAGGATGACATCCCATATATTATTATGAAAAATAAAAAATGTTTGAAACCACCAACCAGTAATGGTTCAAATGGTTAAAACAATGGTTGTTATTAATAAATATGGATTGTATATGGTTAACATTACCCAAACATGGTTGATTTATAGGGGTAATGCCCCTTTGGTATGTGAAAATGATGTAATGTGGGTAAAACAATGTCACTTTTACCATCCCCCAGTCGTCACTATTTTTATAGTTGGGATAACCTAACCATTCCCAGTCATGGGTGGTTTATTATGTTTATTACCTAGATTAAATGTTTCGTTGAATGTTTTATATGGGAAATAGTTGTTGTTTTATGTATATATATATATTATATATATAGTAATAATATGTACTAATTAATGGCTTTTTATTAACAATGTGGGTAAAACAATGCCATTTTTACAACCCAATTGGGAATGGTTTGAATCAGCCTAGAAAAAAATGTGGTTTGGGGGGATGGTTTATGGGTCATTGTTTTACCCACATTAGTGATTTTATATGGGACATTGTTGCGTTGAATGGTGATCATGGTTTGGCCAAGAGTGGTTTTATATTGGGTTTTATATGCAATTTTTCTGGATATGATGGGTTTGTTCATGAATTATATATTTGATGCGATTCATTGTACCATGAATCAAATAAACTTATAGGACTGCTGCATCTCAGGTCAAGTCGGTGAACGTTCACCTCAGTGAATGAAGTGAAAAACGGAGGTTTCTTATGCGGGGTGCCCCCAGTTCTCATCCATTGATGGATTGTCCATTACCCAGAGCTGGAATATTTACCAAAAAGGCCTATTTTTGGGGTTTCCATGTAGGTCTGCATATTCCAGCACCATGGGTTGCATCTGGGCATTATAGTGAATTAAGTGAAAAACGGAGGTTTCCTAACATGCAGGTACCCCCAGTTCTCATCCATTTTGTAAATGGATTGTCCATCATAAACCATTCATCCATTTTTGGGTAGCTATGTTTTAGGACACCCTCAGCCTTGCTACCCTTACTATGGTACAGGTCAGGCTTCAAGGTCCCGCCATGAAGCGTGCTGGCGAATGGACCTGGTAAACTAACACTTCGCTATGGCCCATTTAGTTGGTTGATTTACCCTCTGGTAATGACTAACACAGCTATTGAAAATGACCATTTATAGTGGATTTTTCCATTGAAAATGGTGATTTTCCATAGTTATGTTAGTTTACCAGAGGGTACCCATTCTGGTGATGTTCCACAGCAAACTGCTAGGTTATCAGAGGCTTAGTTACTTCATAGACGATTAGTCCTCATGAAATCCCCGTTGCAATCCCTATTGTTCGTGGTGAAATTTGGTTATGACCATTTACCAGTTATAAGTACTTATAACCCCATTTATAAAAGGTATAATCCCAGTTATTATCAGTTGTAACTAACAAATGGCCATAACTGTTCCTATTTCAACCTGATTCACGATTCGTCCACCAGTGGGATTCGTCCATTGATGTCGCAGAGGACGGTAGCGAAGTTGGCGTAGCTACGTTAACCATGTTTCCATTGCAGTGCGATGGATTTCAAGTAGAAGAAAGGGCCGCGCAAGACTCAGTGTGCCAATCATTCCTGATACAATGTGGGCCCCCCCAGCTATAAGTTGGTTTATAAACCCCATTAACTATAGTTATAGGTATCATAAACCATAGTTAAGCCACATATAAGGCAACTTAGCTATCTAGGGGGTCCCACATTGTAGGATGCCAATCGTTCCTGCTGTGCCACTCGAAGCTGCACGTCGCAGTCGACGGCGGAGAAAACTTCACCACCCAGCAGTGTGGAAACCAGTGGGCTGACCCACTTCTTTTGGCCCCCCACAGTTGTGGAATCGTCAGTTTATTGTTCATTCATCTGTACATACGTTATATCTACCATGTCCGGCTTATATTGGTGAAATACACAAAGTTACAATAATTTACCTCCAATTATCCCCAAATCATCCATTTTTGTGGGATTTTCCATGAAATCAAGCATCCAGCTGCTATTGGGGGTACCATCATTTATGGAATCCCCCATATATCACCGTTCCTAATATCAGTAATATCAACTGCACATGTTTCATATTTTTTTCGGTGAAATCACCATCTTATAGCCGCAAGATATATGAAACTTCCCAAAGCTGACCTGATTTTTTCAGCATCTAAGCGAGGAAAGAAGGGTTCATTTACCGTTTCTCAAATCCACATGGTTTACTGATGTTGTTCAAAGGATAGCTGGTTGGTGGTATACCTACCCCTCTGAAAAATGATGTACTTCGTCAGTTGGGATGATTCTTCCCAATATATGGACAATCATAAAATTCCATGGTTCCAAACCACCAACCAGATAGATAATTGGTTCCAGGTCTAAAAGATCTTACTGGGTCATCTCCCCATATTCCGATAAGTCATCATTTCTATTGAAGAAATCTATAAGTTTTCAGAAAAAAACAACAGATGTTTCCCGGGTCAAGAAATGGGAATGTCTCAAAATCTGGATGCCCAAGCTTTCTATTCTTCCTTTTCTACTAAGGGCCTTGGGGTCATTCCAATCAGGAACGGAACCTGATGGCGTTGCGAGGAGACAAGTTCAGCGTATGTTGGTGTTGCGCCTGCCACGGCGAGGTTCGAAATTTGTCGATGCATGTGTACCTACAGTTATGGCCATGGCTATTAGTTATAACTGGTTGTTTCTATGGGATTATACATTCCATAAATGGGGTGACTTGCTACTTATTATAAATGGTATTTCGGGCCATAACTGTAGCAGCCGTATCCATTCGTGATTAGTATAGTAAATCCAACAAACAACTAACATGACTGAGGATACTTCATACAAACCATTTACGGTGATTTTGGGGAAGGCGGATTCTTGGGCTTACCACATTATATAGAAAAGTCTATGGTATAGCGATTTGTGTACTACAACTATAGATACATTATAAATCCATTTATCAGATCCAATGCCCTCTGGTTATTCAACATAGCCGTGGGAAATGGCCCATTTATAGATGGTTTACCTATGAAAAATAGTGATTTTCCATGGCTATGTTAAATAACCAGATGGTATATCCCATTTATAGTTGATGTTCCCATTATATCCGGTTATAAACCAACCATCATGTCCCAAGTCACCCAAGTCACATCCATAGCAGTGAGGTCGTGTTGTACCCTCCGGTGTCAAACATGGCAAGCTGGGAAATGCCCTGTAAATACAGGTTTTAGTGCGAAGAAATAATCTATAATCTATAATCTATAAATTTCAGGGAATATTTGTCGTTGTCATGACTACTGGATGGTATATACTAGTCTATAACTGTGTATTATAAATATATATATGTATTTCAAGTGCCTCTATATTATATTTTATCATATCCATATGCAACATATTGCACTTCTCTCATGAGAATTGTTGTCCCATCTGGTGTTGTTTTCCACTAAGAAAAACATCCGTGGCAAGCTTAACAGTTTCGTCAGTGAGGTCGCTACCACATGCATAGAATATCACATGGTGGGCCCCAAACGATAGGTAAACTGGTCTGTAAATGGGTTGCTAACATCCCGGTAGGATAACCCCTTATAATGCTCAATCAACCATCATTTATCAATTGTTACATAGTTATCATTTCAAATAATACAGTATATCCCCAAATTATGTTGGCTGGTTAAAAACAACGATTAAACTCCCATTAAATGAACAAGGCTATTTCCGCTATCCTAGTAAATCCATTTAAACTCTTATGAAACAATCCCATCAAATCGCAGTGTTTCATGGTAATATCAATATCTCATTTACCCATGAATCTTATAAATATCATGATAAATCGTGACCAATATCAATTTCATGGGTAATTTCGTGGTAAATCTAGTGATTTTTGAATTGCCCATTGAATCCAATGATTTTTAGCCATTAATTCAGCCATTCATAACCTCCATTAATCACCATTAACCATCATTAACCACCATTAATCACCATTAACCACCATTAACCACCATTAATCACCATTAACCATCATTAACCACCATCAATCACCATTAACCACCATTAACCACCATTAATCACCATTAACCACCATTAACCACCATTAATCACCATTAACCACCATTAACCACCATTAATCACCATTAACCATCATTAACCACCATTAATCACCATTAACCACCATTAACCACCATTAATCACCATTAATCACCATTAATCACCATTAATCACCATTAATCACCATTAATCACCATTAACCAGCATTAATCACCATTAACCACCATTAACCACCATTAACCACCATTAATCACCATTAACCATCATTAACCACCATTAATCACCATTAACCACCATTAACCACCATTAGTCACCATTAACCATCATTAACCACCATTAATCACCATTAACCACCATTAACCACCATTAATCACCATTAACCATCATTAACCACCATTAATCACCATTAATCACCATTAACCACCATTAACCACCATTAATCACCATTAACCACCATTAACCACCACTAATCACCATTAATCACCATTAATCACCATTACCCACCATTAATCACCATTAATCACCATTAATCACCATTAACCACCATTAATCACCATTAATCACCATTAACCACCATTAACCACCATTAATCACCATTAATCACCAGAGAATACCAGAGATGGCCCGGGAAACACCTGCCGATCTCGCCGCTGCCCGGCCATGCCCCGCCTTGCCCACATCAAAGACTCGGAGTCCACCATCGAGGTAAGCTGCAGGGCCAGGTGACGGTGAAGGTGTTTTCCCACACGGCCATGGCCATGGCTATTCTGGTTGGTGGTATACCTACCCCTCTGAAAAATATGTTTCAGTTGGGATGATTATTCTTAATATAGGGGAAAATAAAAAATGTTCCAAACCACCAATCAGTATTAGTTATAACTGGTTATAAATGGGATTATACAATCTAAGTACTGGTATTTCGGGCCATAATTGCATAAAGGTGCAGTTATGGTCCGAAATACCAGTTACCCTTTGGTAAATTAACAGTTGGACCCTGAAAATCACCAATTCTTAGTGGAAACTAATCTTCCAACCCCTATCTGGCAGGGTCGAACTGTTAATTTACCAGAGGGTATCGGTATAAGTACTAAGTCACCCCATTTATAGAATGTTTTTTATCCCAGTTATAACCTGTTATAACTAGTAGCCATGGCCATAACTGTGGAGATTCGAATTACAATGGTTACAACAGTGTGGATTTGTGTTTTACCAAATGGGAGATTTGACGTCACAACTGGGAGTTTTGGCTGGATAAATTTTGTGACCAACGATTAAAACAAAGGTTTCAGTCCATGTTTTAACGGCATGAGATGTTTAACAAAGTGAGATTTAACAAGAGAACATGATGTAACCAGCAATATAGTAATTTGTTTAATCAATAAAAAGGGTCACATCACCAGCAAATGTGGTGCCAGTCACTGGGAATCAATCATCCTGATTCGTGGGAAACACCCTTCCTGACGGACAAAAACAAGAAAACCATGAAAAATGATAGCACCATTTAACAATTATGTGCTATGCATAATGAATACACAGCCCCAATTCCATAGTGTTCCGAGTGATCCCACATTCTATAGGTTGTAAACCCTCATATTTGTTCCATTTTGTTCCAGTCAAATTCCCATCATCAGATTCCAATTGATCCAAGTATGCTTGAAATCCTCAGCCATTCCATCAGGTTTCAGTCTGCAGAATCCATGTGGTAGCGGCCCGTAAGATACGATAAGTTCGTCTGGGGGCACCCAGTGGGAGTTCTCAACCCAGACCACTCGAGGAGATTACTAAATCCATCGAATTTAACGCTAGGCTCTGCGACAAGGGACGCAGCAGGCTGTGAGTCCCTGGGAAACCACTTCGGATCTTCTGCGTGCCTCAGATGATCTCACGTTCCACCGTTCGTTCTGAATCCACAGCTTTGCCTCGAGGAAAGCGAACGGGTCAAAACTCACTTCACTTCGTTTGCAAAGGGTAAAATCCTTTGTGCTGGTGGACCTGAACGAAGTGGTGACTCCAAAGGGTGCGTTGTTCATAGCCGATCCAGTGGTAGTAGTCCATCGTAGAGTGAGAGAGGACAACACTCACCTGTGGTTCAAATTGCAATCAAGACGGTCAGTCCTGAGCACACCTGAACTGTCAAAGGATGCAGGGCAGTACATCAGATGAGAAATGAACGAGACAGACAAATCCAAGAAACAAGCAACACAGAAAGCAACAAACAAATAAAGGACAAAGAAGATCCAAAACAGAACAAAACACACAACGACCGGGAAAACTGTGAAAAATCATCCTGGTTAAAACACGTGCCGTGTCAGCTATAAAGATGCAATTTATCCCGGGATATCCTCATTTTATCTCCATTTATAGATTGTTTTTCAAATTTATACAATGTGGTACCCCCCGCAGTCATGTTTGTTGGTTTATAACCCCATCAACCATAGATATATCTACCATAAGTCCGAGTGAAATTGGAGTTATAAACGCACCAACTTAGCGATTTCGTAAACAGGGGCACCAGTTTGTACAAATTCTGGTTAGATCTATCTACCAGAAAATAGATAGATATCTCATGATATATCTACCTATTGTAGATATCTATCCATGTAGATCTATACCTATCCAATTATCTATTTACCTATTGATTCACATGTTAAATCCCCATGATTCATTGGTTGGATCCCCATCTTGGCGTGTGAAAAATCCCCAGGGCAAAATTCGATGCAGTGAGACTCGTGAGCTGCATGGCGAAATTTCATTTAAGTTGGCTGGTGACATGCTGTTATTTGAGCTAATCTCGCATACCCTCTGGTAATGGCTAACATAGCTATTGAAAATGACCATTTATAGTGGATTTTCCCCTTTGAAAATGGTGAGTTTCCATAGTTATGTTAGTTTACCAGAGGGTAACTAAGCTACCCTCTGGTAAATTAACATAGCGAACTGGAGAATCACCATGCTATTCATGGGAAAATCCACGAACTAAACCACCATTTTCAATAGCTATGTGACAAATTACCAGAGGGTAATATAGCATAACTTTCACATTTTATGAATCTCCCATTGATATCATAGATATCCAGAAATTTGGAATTTTGACACAATCATATTCCAAGGATATCCACCTGTTTTCGCACAAACTCCGCTGCACCTCCTGCCAGTTGAAGATCATCCGGCGAGAAACGCAAGGCAAAGCATGCCTTCCAACACGCGCGCGCGCGTAGGGTGGGTCCCGGAGGGATGTGGAGAGGTTAGGAGTCTATGGAAGTCACAACTGAGCCATGGAAATTTTATTTAAGCAGCAATACTGCCGGATTAATATAGGTTAAACTTTGACATATTGACCATTATAAAGTGGGGATATCTCTTGAAAATGATGATTGAGTGAAATTAACTGGTTATGAAGTAGGGTGATAATTAAACTACCTGGTTTATAGGGGATCATTATGACCCATAAGAATCGGGATACCGGTCTTCACATGTTTTCACATGTCTTCACTAAACCAGAAAATTTATAGATAAATATTTTATGATATTGCAATGTTGTAGATATTATACAAATACTAAATACAAATTATACAAGTATTGTTTTTTTTCTAAATCTTATATTGAAAAACATTTCAACATATTCCAAACTGGAAAATGCTAAACAGTATACCATATAACCATCAAATTGTATGCATGATATATATATATATGTATATATATATACATATAGTATTACAATACAACATACAACTAATCAACAGTATAATAGATAATTAATAGTATAATTGTATATATATATAATCTAATCATAATATTAAAAAACAAAACATATAATTATAAATATATAAATATGAGTCAAAGTGAGCAGCCACCATCCGAACCTGTTGGAAGGTGACTTCTTCCAGGCACAGGCGAGCTTGCACAGGTATGAGTAAATCTGACCTTCCTTTGACTAGTAGTAGGACGCAACAGTCTCCACCTCGCATAGAGCTACACACACAAAAGGTCCATGGCATCGCTTTAGGCAGGCGAATGCCGGCATTCCATGCCACCTTCTTTGCCTTTGACGAGTGGAACCACATCTTGGCAAAGTTGTTCAAGTCGACAGGTGAGCCAATGCCTGGCACAGCAGACAAACAGTACCAACAATCACTAAATATTAAATATCAAATCACCAATGAGTGCATGAATTTTGCTTTACCCAATACCCACTAAGAATCTAAGATGAGTGACTATTTCCTATGTACCAAAAACAAAACCAAAGGATAAAGGAGAGTTAGCACAATTAAATTAACTAAGTCATTAAATTCTAGCATGAAGTGAAAATCGATTGGCCTCCTAAAACAAAAAAATATCCATTCATACAGTTATGGCCCTTTACCAGTTATAAGTACTTATAACCCCATTTATAGATTGTATAATCCCATTTATAACCAGTTTTATAACTAATAAATGGCCATAACTGTAGAGTTCATAGATTATTGGTTCCCACTAAAAACTCCATTTGGGTCGGAGACTTTCCGGCCACGTTTGATTACTGGAGGGTACATATATATATACATATATATATATGGCGAGTTAGGACCATTTTTATTTTCGTATGTATTGATACAACTTGATACAGTTATGGCCATTTATTAGTTATAACTGGTTATAAATGGGGTAACAAACAATCTATAAATGGGATTATAAGTACTTATAACTGGTATTTCGGGCCATAACTGTAGACCCTTTTTTTGGAAACGAGAACTCTGATAACAACTATAGATTACTAGATGAACTAGATATAAAGTCTCGCGAGACGAACTGGTGAAAAACACTGAGCTTCATTTTTGGTCACTGCAGGTTTGAACTGGTGCTTTTCACTAGCCTTTTCCAATGTTGCAATCATGATGGATCCCATGGTTTTACCAACCTTTCCAATGACTACCAGAACTATGATCTCGAAGGGAAAAAAACATCCACCTAATATTAGACACTCCCCCATGTTTTGATTCCTATCTGCAGTTATGGCCCGAAATACCAGTTATAAGTACCAACAAAACCCCATTTATAGATTGTTTGTTTTCCCATTGAAATAACCAGTTATAACTAATAAATAGCCATAACTGTACCATAGAAAACGGGTGTTTCTTTTTCGGCGGATGGGGTTCGGGATTTCCAACCTTAATCATCCAATGATTTCCCACCTTGTGTCCCATTAATCCCCACCCAGTTGGTGGTGCAATAACCATCTTGAAACATATGAGTTCGTCAATGGGAAGAATTATCCCATTTATTATGGAAGTGATGGATTTCATGTCTATGTTTATTTACTGGTACCATCTGGTCATTTAACATAACCATGGAAAACCGCCATATATTATGGAAAAATAAAAATGTTTGAAACCACCAACCAGCCACGATTGTGGGTCTTTATGATCTTTCGTAATTGCCTAAAAAAACGCTCACGAAGAGGTCACAGGTGCCGCTGCACCTGTCCATAGCCCGCAAAGTGCAACTTCGGGAGGTCCTGGAGGTGGGATGGCAAGAAAATCATGCGCTCCCTAGGTTCGGTAACCTAAAGAATATATAGGTTCCCTAAAGGATATATAATATAATATATAGAATAATATGGGAACCTTTCGGCTCCCCAGGGAATAATAGAATAATATCATATTCCCTTTGGCTTCTATATATTTATGGGAACCTAAAGGGAATATATTGAATATTATAGAATAATAATGTATAATATAATTTGGATAGAATGAAATAATCCTTGGTGGTGCCCCAGTTCGTTTGCTAAGTCTGGTTGATAGGCAGCTGAACTACGGTTTATGATGATTAGATCTACAATTAGAATCAATTAGATGGGGCTATAAAGCAACATATAACTAGAGGGCACCACCTGTAAAGTAAATCGCCCCGGATAAATGAACCTGGTTGAATTAGGAGGTATCCTGGTATTGAAATTGAAATGTAGCGATAATCTGATCTGGTTGGTGGTTTTAACCTCTGGAAAAAAAAAAGTTCGTCAGTTGGGAATATGATTCCCAATACGAAATCCAAATGTTCCAAAGCACCAACCAGTGATTAATATTCCATTACCAGAGGGTTAATCACCATAAAATCACCATTAATATCCCTATTAAATCACCATTAAATAAAAAGCTTCCCCCAATGACCAACAGCCCATGGGGTCTCTCCAACTCAACGGCTGACCCAGGTGTGATCCTGGGATGATCCTCGTATCAAAGGTGTCTCAAGGTGTCCCAGGTGTGATGGTTTACACATCCCAATAATTATAGAGTCATTTCACTACCATAAAGCCTTGGGCTTAACCTAAATTGTAAAAGTCTGATCATCAACTTAGAAACCTCATCTTTAACCATATAGATCCTGTCTCTTCTACCGTTTTATGGAGTTTGTTTAGCCGTTTCTGTGGTGAAGGTCCCATCGCCATGTTTCAGTCAGGTCCCAGCACCCCGTCCGCGGAGGGATCCAACGTGGCACGGCGCTTCTTCTCGGACTTCTTGCGGTTCACCGTCAAACAGGTGAGTTTGGCTGGCGCGCGGTGGCGAGGGCGAACGCGGAACTTGTGATGATTGAAGTGGCTCTTGGGAGTATGTATGGTATATGTATATATACAATATATGTTAAATGAAAGATTATATATATATGTCATGTTTTGTATTATGAATTAAACCCTATATGGTATATATATATATATTAAATATATTAATATATCATATCTACAAAAAACATTATAAAACTATTTTAATATATACATTACATAAATATATGTATACAATCTGCCCTTGCAGGAAATGTGTGTGTTTCGGCCCCGGTGGTGCGCGGCATTTCCGCGCGAAAACGCGAAAACGCGAAAACGGGCAACAAAACGCGAAAACGCGAAAACGCGAAAACGCGCACGAAAGTACAAGAACGCGAAAGTTGGACAGCTATGATCATCTCCGGATCTAGCGGCACGTCAATGCAAAATAATTATATTGTGCTGCAATAGCGGTGTTGATCTGTGTTGGGCTGGGACTTCAAGTACAGAGTAGTGGAATGCAGGTTCATGTGATGTGATTTTTTTTATGGTATCTATAGATCTATATTTCATTCTAGCCCTACCTACCTACCTAGCTAGCTAGCTAGCTACCTACCTACGTATCCATCCATCCATCCATCCGTCCGTCCGTCCGTCCATCCAATCTATCTAATCTATCTAATCTATCTATCTATTCCAATCTATCTATCTAGTCCATCTGTTTTATCTAATCTATCCGATCTAACATAGACCCGGGCAAGCCGGCGGCGGAAGTTTCCCAAGAATAAATGACCTATAGTTCAAGGCCAGCCTGTCCCGAGCGTGTCCTTCCCTCGACAAGCGGTTTTTTTTTCAGCGAGAGACGAAGCAAAGTCTTCACACTCCACACTTCACACTTCACTCTTCGCACTCCAAACTTCACACTCCACAGTCCACACTTCACACTTCTCACTTCTCACTGCTTCCTTCACACTCCAAACTTCACACTCCACACTTCACACTTCGCACTTCACAGTCCACACTTCTCACTTCTCACTGCTTCCTTCACACTCCAAACTTCACACTTCACACTTCTCACTTCGCACTTCGCACTCCACACTTCACACTCCACACTTCACACTCCAAACCTCACACTTCACACTTCTCACTTTGCACTTCACACTCCACACTTCACACTTCACACTTCTCACTTCGCACTTCACACTCCACATTTCACACTTCACACTTCACAGTCCACACTTCACACTTCTCACTGCTCACTGCTTCCTTCACACTCCAAACTTCACACTTCACACTCACTTCGCACTTCACATTCCACACTCCAAACTTCACACTTCACACTCCACACTCCACACTTCACACTGCACTCTTTGCACTCCAAACTTCACACTCCACACTTCACAGTCCACACTTCACTTTCTAGTCATTTATTCTTGGGACACTAATGCCGTCACTTCTACTTCCCACTGTCATTACCTAAAAAGGGGCCAGTCCAAACAGTTACAATACTCATTGTCACTACAGTTACAGCCACAACGGTCATTGTCAAAGTAGTCTTTGTCATAGTATCTATGGTCGCAGTAGTCATGATCAGAATAGTCACAGTCACAGTCACATCAGGTATGGTCACACTAATCAAAGTCACGGTGGTCATTTTATGGAGGTTATCAACATACAACCGCACGAACGATGGAATTACTTCACACTCCACACTTCACACTTGTCACTTCTCACTGCTTCCTTCACACTCCAAACTTAAACTTCACACTCCACACTTCACACTTCTCACTTCCCACTGCTTCCTTCACACTGCACACTTCACACTGCACTCTCCACACTTCACTGCTCTAAACCTACGTGCAACGGCGTCGGAAAATTGTAGCTCCAAAACCGGATGGATCTCGACGCCAGAGCGAAAAAAAGACGATTTTGAAGCACTTTTTAAAAGGATTTTTAAAAGGAAAATTACTAGCGCCAAAATGGAGGAAATCTGCTGACAAATCACTGTTGCAGCCTTCATGCAGCCACTCCAATACGATTTACGAAGTCCAGCTGCAAAAGACAATAGTATTACGCATGCAGCCTCAGCATGAAGCAACCTTGACGCAGCTATTACAATGCGATCTGCGGAGACTGAGTTGCAAAACACAATAGAACTACGCGCAACTGGGTCGGAAATTGCAGCTCCAAAACCGGATCTCGACGCCAGAGCGAAAAAAAGACGATTTTGAAGCACTTTTTAAAAGGATTTTTAGAAGGAAAATCACGAGCGCCAAAATGGAGAAAATCTGCTGACAAATCACTGTCGCAGCCTTCATGCAGCCACTCCAATACGATTTACGAAGTCCAGTTGCAAAAGACAATAGTATTGCGCATGCAGCCGCGGCACCAAGCAACCTTGACGCAGCCAGTACAATGCGATCTGCAAAGACTGAGTTGCAAAACACAATAGAACTACGCGCAACTGGGTCGGAAATTGCAGCTCCAAAACCGGATCTCGACGCCAAAGCGAAAAAAAGACGATTTTGAAGCACTTTTAAAAAAAAAATTAAAAGGAAAATTACTAGCGCCAAAATGGAGAAAATCTGCTGACAAATCACTGTCGCAGCCTTCATGCAGCCACTCCAATACGATTTACGAAGTCCAGCTGCAAAAGACAATAGTATTACGCATGCAGCCAAAAGAGGAAGCAACACTTGCAATCCCATTTACACTGCGGGAACGATCCTACAGTTGCAAAGCACAATGGAATTCCATCGGCAACTCATCCACCAGCACCACTTGCAATCCCATTTACAGTGAGGGAACGATCCTAGAGTTGCAAATCACAATGCAATTCCATCAGCAACTCATCCACCAGCACCACTTGCATCCCATTTACAATGCGGGAACGATCCTACAGTTGCAAAGCACAATGGAATTCCATCGGCAACTCCTCCACCAGCACCACTTGCAATCCCATTTACAGTGAGGGAACGATCCTAAAGTTGCAAATCACAATGGAATTCCATCGGCAACTCATCCACCAGCACCACTTGCAACCCCATTTACAATGCGGGAACGATCCTACAGTTGCAAATCACAATGGAATTCCGTCGACCACACATGCACGAAAAACAGTTGACACCCCATTTACAATGCGGAACCGATCCGAGAATGATCCGAGGATGATCCGAACATATCCGAGCATGATCCGACCACACACGAGACCATCTCGCACCCGTCGCACCGCAAAGGTAGATCATCGACGTTCGGGGACGGACTTTGTATGGAAAAACATAGGGTTTCGTGCATCTGCTATCTCTCAAAAACGCATTTCGTGCGAGACTTCCTTCAAAACTCCATCGGCAACTCATCCAGCAGCACCACTTGCAATGCCATTTACAGTGAGGGAACGATCCTAAAGTTGCAAATCACAATGCAATTCCATCAGCAACTCGTCCACCAGCAACACTTGCAACCCCATTTACAATGCGGGAACGATCCTACAGTTGCAAATCACAATGGAATTCTGTCGACCACACATGCACGAAAAACGGTTGACACCCCATTTACAATGCGGAACCGATCCGAGAATGGTCCGAGGATGATCCGAACATATCCGAGCATGATCCGACCACACACGAGACCGTCTCGCACCCGTCGCACCGCAGAGGTAGATCATCGAGGTTCGGGGACGCACTTTGTATGGAAAAACATAGGGTTTCGTGCATCTGCTATCTCTCAAAAACGCATTTCGTGCGAGACTTCCTCCAAAACTCCATCGGCAACTCCTCCACCAGCAACACTTGCAATGCCATTTACAGTGAGGGAACGATCCTAGAGTTTTAACTCTTTCTTTGACTAACTCTTTCCCTGACTAACTGTTTCTTTGACTAACTCTTTCCCTGACTAACTGTTTCTTTGCTAACTCTTTCCCTCACTAACTCTTTCTTTGACTAACTCTTTCCCTGACTAACTGTTTCTTTGACTAACTCTTTCTTTGACTAACTCTTTCTTTAACTAACTCTTTCCCTGACTAACTGTTTCTTTGACTAACTCTTTCTTTGACTAACTGTTTCTTTGCTAACTCTTTCCCTCACTAACTCTTTCTTTGACTAACTCTTTCCCTGACTAACTGTTTCTTTGACTAACTCTTTCTTTGACTAACGGTTTCTTTGCTAACTCTTTCCCTCACTAACTCTTTCTTTGACTAACTCTTTCCCTGACTAACTGTTTCTTTGACTAACTCTTTGTTTGACTAACTCTTTCTTTCACTAACTCTTTCCCTCACTAACTCTTTCTTTGACTAACTCTTTCCCTCACTAACTCTTTCTTTGACTAACTCTTTCCCTGACTAACTGTTTCCCTCACTAACTCTTTCTTTGACTAACTCTTTCCCTGACTAACTGTTTCCCTCACTAACTCTTTCTTTGACTAACTCTTCTTTGACTAACTCTTTCTTTGACTAACTCTTTCCCTCACTAACTCTTTCTTTGACTAACTCTTTCCCTGACTAACTGTTTCTTTGACTACATCTTTGTTTGACTAACTCTTTCCCTCACTAACTCTTTCTTTGACTAACTCTTTCCCTGACATTCTAAAAGTCCGTAACACGGAAGTTTCTCCCCCTAAACTTCCTTTGATCATATCCATCCATCAATCTATCTATGTAAGCTATGTACCTAAGCTATGTATCTAAGCTATGTATCTCAGCTATGTATCTAAGCTATGTATCTAAGCTACGTATCTATGTATTTATGTATCTATGTGTCTGTGTGTCTAAGCTATGTATCTATGAATCTATGTATCTCTGTATCTGCGTATCTATGTGTCTATGTATCCATGCATCTATCCCACTCTCTCTCTCTCTCTCTTTCTCGTCATCTCTCTGTTTATCTATCGATCAATCTACCAAGCCGTCTATCTATCTACCCGTCCATCTGTATATCACCTATCTTCGCCTTGTCTATCTGCCTACCTACCTACGTACCTCTCTATCTCTCTATATCTCTACCTCTCAATTTCTCTA